TAACATTATAACATGATATAAAACTCAAAAAAGTTGATTTTACATGATATTGCCCCTTTAAGAGAGTCAAATAGAACTCACAGGAAGAGGAAAGCACACATTTTTCGCAGGAAGGAGATGCTGGTTAGGAGGGAGTATGTCTCGTCAGAGGCAGAGCTAGGCTTTTTTATTTTTATTTATTTATTTTTATTTTTGCAAGGGGTGGCACTATGATGGCCAAGATGATTTTTTTATGGGGCGCATACAGAAAAGCACTCTGGATTGAAAATTCAAGATGGCTGCCACAACTATATCCAAATGGCTTCAATYCATCTGTTTTGAGAAATACTGATCTGAAATTTTGGGCGACAGTAGCTTAGAATGATCTAAAAATATCTTCACAACTTATTAATCCGACATTTTTAGACACACAAAGCTGAAGCTGAAGCTTTGTGTAAAAGTAGACGAAACAATCTTTACCAAATTCTAAATGCTAATCAAAAATTTAAGATGGCCACCACAGTTAAATTAAAAAACCTCAAATTCAGCCACTTTAAAACCTATTGAAATTAAATTTGTTGTGGAGAAGCTAAGAATGATCACATGCTGATTGTTGATTCTAGTCCAAAATGCATCTACTAACCACTGCATTCTCTGTCATAAACTGTGACTTTGTCACAAAAGTGAAAATTAGCGCTTCTCCTTATTTTAACAAGAGAAACATCAGATCTTCCTCCTCTAACTCCTTCGTCATCGACAGAAAATTAACMATCATTCCGCCAATGAGCTGTCGCTGTCGTGTTTGTTTGCACGTGACATGTGYGGCGGTGGGAGGGGCTTAACAGGARCTCTGTGCTGCCGTTTGTCRTAAGYGTGTAAAATGTCAAAAAGCACGTCTCACAACCGCATCAGCAAGAACAAATGTCTTTTGTCTTGTGACGTAACAAGCTTTACTCTTCAGCTGAAACTAACCTGGAGCAAGGTTGAAGATTTTCTCTCATTTGATGAAGGAAAAGTTTGCAGGTGTCACTTTAAATCTGGAAACGGTTCTCGTTTCAAAGCAGCGCACATCATAAAAGGTTTAAGAACCACTGGTTTACAAAAATGAATGCTTTTAAAAATGCTGTGAATTTTCTGAAACTGTTTTAAAATGGCCGAAATTTCTTTTGGTCTTCACTCAGATTAGCCATTAGCTYGTCAGAACTGTGTTTGCTCAATGACGAGATGCAACAGATAAAATATTAATGATTCATAACTTTGAACCCCGTTTCAATATGCTCTTATAATGATCACCTCCAGGATTAATAATTGCTTGCTGTACCTGCTTCGGATGTTATCATCCATTAAATGGACGTTAATRGCCGTTATCAGACCCATAGAAAGGCTTCAGATTGTCAGCTTGTTAATAAAAGGCATAAAACCACTAAGGTTAATTTTAGAGAAAATGACACGGGCCACGATAAAGTAGACCGGACTCCGGCGGTAGCATATTGTTACATTCCAATGTATATGGCACTGGTAACCCACTAGAGGGCAYTGTCGGGACAGTCTGAAGCCATTCAATGGGACTGATAACCGCTAATAACGTCCATTTAATGGACTGATAACATCCGAACCGGCTGTTTCCAGGAGGGTTTTCTCTTTCTTTAGAGGTGCAGTATGTTTACACTGTTTAACATTATTTGCTAATTCTCTGTGCATTTCATATTCAGATTTGACGTGAGTGCTCTGAACTTGGGCAGGGTCTATGTGAATATATGTAAAAAAGGCTGGTCATGTGCAAGGATAYGACGAGGAACCTCATGCAAATACATTCATACATCCAGTAAGAGTCAAGAGTCTCACTGTGTTCAATCTGTGTTAAACGTTTCACTGGTACTGGATATATAAACGTGTGTGTGAGTGCCAGGCATCTCTGGCTCAGTTTTTATTTATGTTTTTATCTCATTTAACAAGATACAGGTCAGACAGAAGCGTTTCTCTGTGCCTGAGGCAAGAGATCAACACGATACGTCTGACGGGACTCTGTGGGCCAGATTACAGATAAAACTTGTCTCTGTCAGCGAAACCGTTGGCACAAAAATGATTGAAAAAGTTTTTGAACTATATGGTGAAAACCAAAATATTGTCAGTTTAAGTTTAAGCTGTGAAACACAAATAGATGCCAGTAAATAGTCTGCAGCATCTTGCCTATGGCAAGATGCTGCAGACTATTTACTGGCATCTATTTGTGTTTTGGTTGTTTAATAACGCCAATAGTTCAAGTGTTAAATTAAWTTTTTTTTAAGTTTGTCCCTCAAGGCTACAGATAGGAAGCGTAGAACCAGCAGAGATGCTAGACACCGAAACCACTCCAGAGAAGCTCTCCTCCTCACATTAGCCTTCCTAGCTTCGTCTCCTTCCTCTCCTTCTTCCCCGCCCCTCCCGGCTCCCTCTTTATCGGTCGAGGCCTATGAGAAGTTTAGTCTTCTCCTCCTCTTTCTTGCTCTCGTTCTTCAGGTCGGCAAACACCTGGGTAAAAAAGTGCGGGTCGGTGTTGATCTGCAGCATCTTGCCACTCATCCGGTTGATGATCTCCAGGCAGCGATCCCAGAAGGCTTCCTTCTCCGCCTCCACCAGGAAGGGCTTCAGCGGGTAGGAGATCTCGTTGCCCATGTAGGAGTAGGACAGGTAGAGGCAGGTGAGCAGCGACGCCTGCAGCTCGCGCTCCGAGGCCACCTCGGCCGAGACCACATCCCGGCACAGCATGTAGAGGAAGACCACGTTGGCTGGAGTGATGAAGCCCTGGTCCTGCCAGCCCTGCAGGAGCAGGGAGCGGTCCACGCTGCGCAGCCACAGCACCGGATCGGTCGGCGACAGACGCTTCAGTCTGTAGCACCGACGGCACAGGAACTCCCCCAGGCTACGCATCAGTTCGCTGGTGGAGGCCTGGGGGGCCGAGACAGAGCACGTGGGTCAGCACTGGAGATCTGAAGAAGATTTGATGATTTAAGTAAAAAAAAAGTTTGGTGTTACCTGGACGATGACACGTTTTGGTGTGCCGACCGCAGTGGAAGCCTGGACTCCAGGTCCTGTGAGGGAATTCTTTTTGGCGATGACTGTAGCTACGTTTGCCAGGGTCTTGGAGGTGGGCAGGTGGGAGGAGGTAGTGGTGGTGGTAGCTGAGGGGTCCTGGACGGACGAGTAAGACGAGAGGTTCGCACAGGACTGAGACTTCTTCAGCTTCAGGCTGTTGGAAGCTGAGCTGGTTGTGKTGGCTGCGTGGCCTTCCAGAGGGCTCCCTTTCCCACCATCCCCTCCTTCTGACTGGAGCTTCTTGGAACCTTTCCTCTTTGCCGACACGGCCACAATGCGTTTCCATGGCAAAGCGCTAATAATAGAGGGCCGTTTCAGGGACTTCGCTGCTGCTGCTGCGTCCTTGGCATTCTTGCTGTTTTGAACAGCTGTGTAATGACCCACCGTGGCCGGACCATCTTCAAAAAGAGCGGCCTTGCGGTAGCTGGGAGAGAGCGACAGCACCGTACCCATGGTGTGGGATGAGGCTCAGCAAATGGATGGGATGGACTCAGAAGAAGCTCTTTAACAAGTTTAGTTAAAGAGCTTTGGATCTATGTGTCCTGAATTTGGAGGAAATTGAACCTGTGAGCAGAAAACAGGACAGACCGTATTCCATTAGTCATCAATGASGAGCTCTGAATGAATCCAAAGATTACACCTCAAAGGAAATAACAGCGTCAACAATACATGAAAATACAATACTTTGCTTCAAATATCACCCGCTGCTGAAGTTGCCCCATCTGTGTGTTTCTCTGTTCCGTTATATCTCATGAGAGATTGTCTAGATTTGAATGGAACTCTCARAAAGCAATCACTGAATGAACATCTATTGTGCAACCGATTAACTTTTAGAATCAACATMTTCAAGATGGCTGCCACAGCTGGGGAAAATCAGCAAACACAAAAATTGTCATGACTGACAGTTTTACAGATACTGAGCTCAAACTCTGTGTGGTGGTAGCTGAGAGTCATCCTCAATGCGTGGAGCATTTTCCATTGTGCATCTTTCTTTAACACTTTGGCATTAACTATGACCTTAAAAATGTTTGTTAGTACATGGGCACTACGCATTGCTTTAAGGAATAGGTCTTGAATTTTTATTTACATTGTTTAACATTTCCTCTCAGTTATTGACCATTTTAGCAAATAATCAAAGTTATAAAAACATTGTTAATCAGCTTCATTATTGCTTCAGGTGCAAACATGCTGGTGCATTGTTTCTTCGTAGCTCCAGTCAACACTTAGTTTTTTTGAAAGCGTTTTTTAAAAATGTCTGTTCTGTGCTGAGTTATGGGGTGAATTAGATTAGATGTGCTGGTCAGACAGACTGATACACTCAGCAGCACCATCAGCAAAAACCACAGATATTTTTCAGTGAGTAAACAAGCTTACAAAGTTGTACAAAACTGTAGAATAAATTTAGTTAGCGTTCTGCCCAGAGTTATAAAGTAACTAAGTACAAATACTTTGTTAATGTACTTAAGTAGAATTTTTGGGTATCTGTACTTGAGTAATTATTTTTCAGCCATCTTTTTAGTTATCTGTACTTTCTACTCCTTACATTTAAAAAAAAAAGACAAGTAAAGCGTCATTATTTCATCTTTGCTTGTTGTCATTCCAGCTTGTTATTGTAAAAAATAAATACTATCCAAATAAAATGGGCCTCCTAGATAGAGTGAATTTAATTGTGGTTAAATGAGAAGTATAAATATATGAAATTCTGATACCATATTAGTTTGTACACAAACAAATCATGGCACACTCCAGCAGGACAGAATCATTCAAATAAAAGGACTGTACTTAAGAAGTATTTGTATTTCATGAATTATATTATTACATTTGGCGGCAGCCCTCAGATAGATTTTCATTTTGGRGAAAAGSTTTGTGCAGCCTTGATATATGTATATAAACTGAAACAGCTGGACTAGTGCATCCTAAATTTACCATAAATTAATTATTTTAATACAACAGTCATTTCTGCATTTTTTGGGGGGGTCACCTCCTAATAAATGTCATTACTAAAATCTAACTGCATTTTAAATCAATACTTTTACTTTTAATACTTAAGTTAAAAAAATATCAGATACTTTGACTTTTACTCAAGTAATATTCCTAAAGGAAACATTAACTTTTACCAAAGTAATTTTTTGGTGAGATACTTGTACTGTTACTCAAGTATCACTTTGTGGTACTTTATACAACACTGGTTCTGTCATATCCACATGTTGTTTTTGAGTTAGAGCTGTTTTATAAATGTGAAAAACAGAAAATCTGCCACTTGTTCAGTTAGTTGATTTAGCCTGGAAAAAGACTTGTCATTCTCTTGTTTTGTTCACTTGTTTTGAGCTTCAGGTACCCCCAGGTGCTGCCAGTCATAAGATGTATCACCAAGCAGCCATGTTACAACAAAGAAATAACACACATTTCCTTAATTTTTGTGTTGTTTATTTATATTTTAACTCCTAAAACTCAAAAAACAATATTAGTTTTTATGTTCATGAGGTTCTACTCATCCTAAATATCTAGAGAAAGTTAAAAGTGCACATTGAGAAAAGCTTGGGACTCAGGAAAATGAACTGTTTGGCCAAGGAGGGTCACATTACACTTAGAGGTGGCCATTACCATAACCTGGTAGTGCCCAAGGACTATATACTGTAAGTATTAGCTAGGGTAGGATGTATGGGAGTTTTTTAAAAGCCCAGATGCATACAGGTGGTTTACCCATGAAGCTAGAAATGTTAGAGTTATAACACTTGTACTAAAGAAGAAAGAATTTTTTAATTATCAGGTTGTTGAATTGTTCTTGCAAATAAACAACAAATAAGTACTTGATTTTACAAATTTCACTAAACTGTATAACTGTAACTTGTATAACTGGAGTAACAACAGAGTATCATTCTGAGCACTGTTACCCTAACTTTACATTTTTTCTTCTTTTTTTGCYTTTTCTCTAATATGAAAACTTTAAAATAAACTTTAAAACACAGTCCAGTCACCACTGTCTCTAAAAGTAAATAGCTTTACATCCAATGAATATTTTCTGAACATTTCATTAAAGTCACGTGATATTTTGCCGACAGACAAAGAAAGTTGACTCCAACTGTTAAAGTTTTAAGGATTTTTTTTTCTATTTTTGCAAAATGAGAAACACTTGGGGTTTATGTTTTGAATAACTCTTGGCTTCAACCAYGCCCAATTTTAGRACAGTATCTGTAAAATTGACTGAATCATCTCCATTTGTGTGTTTTCAAATTTGAGTTGGCTGTAGCAGCCATCTTAAAATGGATTAGCTCACAAATTTAATCAGTTGTAGCTGTACCTTGAATGATTATTTCCTGAAAGTTTCATTAAAATCCGTCTGGTGTTTCATGAAATCTTTTGCTAACAGATGCTTGCAGTTGGCTTAAAATATTATAAAGAGAGATCTTGCACAACACTTCACTGCCTATATTATGTGTTTGGAATCAGTCTCAGCTCAGTCCACATCAGATTTTAGCTCAATATTTGTAAAATGTAATAAGTTATAGCCATTTCCTGTGTTTTAAGGTCACTTGGCTGCAGCAGCCATCTTGAATCAGGTGGACTCCAAACATTAATCAGTTATAGCTGTATATTCAGAGATTACTTGCTGACAAATTCATTTCAATTCCTCCAGTGGTTAATGGGTTATATTGCTAACAGACAGTGTGAGTTGCTGTAATCCAACTAAAGAAAGAGAGCTGCAGGTCCTGATGGTTAGACTTTATGATTTTAATTTTGAGAAGAAATACTCTAATGTCAAACTTTATAGGTCTAATAAAGTATAAATGAAGGCACCGGACGCTGCTGAGGTCAGAGCTGTAAASACCAGGCTCTGCACACATCGCGCTTATGTAAGGAGCCGTGGAGGCCGGGGAGAAGAAATGTGCGCAGGCATCCATCTTAGCTTCAAAATGGAAGCCTGGAATCCAACCCGCACACATCCAACCCCTCCATCCAACCCCCCMACACATCCAACCCCCGCACCCGCCTCTCTCTCTCTGCCGACACAAGCTTCAGTGGCTTCACTGCAGCGCACACATCCATCAGAATCAGAACCACAGCCTGGAGATGGTGTTCGGCTTTTCAGCAATATGTTTCATATGATGATGATGATGATGATAAGAGCCCCCCTATATATATA